TAGTTTCCTATGAGCCAGCTAATTGTTGAACCCAACTTGTTGGGTCCTTAACCTCAAACATTGAACCTGAGCAAATCGCATTACGAACGCTTAAAATGCCAACTCATGGGCATGCATTGTCATTAACTAGACGCCACGCAACACGATCCATTTCCATTTTACATTTTACATTTTAGATTTTCATCATTTTCAACATTTGCAACATTTTCATTTTGCCTTGAACTCGAGTACAAATTTCGCACATACGCTTTAAATATGCGCATATCATAAATAGATGCATTGAAGAATTACGTTTACTCGATGGAAAAAAAAAAATGAAAATTAGTTAAATTAAAGACGGCAATTTTCTAGAGAATCCATAGATGAACCACTCGCATAGCCAGTTACATCTCTCTCTCTGTGTGTGTGTGTGTGAGAGTGTGCGTGTGTGCTGATGATATAGAGGTTGCAGGTGCCTGAGAGAGCCGACCTTTAATGGTGCCATTGTGTGCTAAACAGTAAGCAGACTCTTAGACAGACCCAAGACACTGTCTGAATCTGAATCTGAATCTGGGGGCCCTGAAGTACCGCCATCTCGCCGTCATTATCAGCAGTTGGCAATTTCACACGCTCCGCGTTCCATTGTTCCCACAATTTTCCATTCATTCATTCAGTTTGCTCACTTCTGTTCCTACTTTGTAATAAGTTTTGCCCCGGAAAAAAAAAAAAAAAAAACAGAGAAGAGAGAGACACACACACACACACACACACACACGCTCCCCGCTATTCCTCCCGTTTTGCATCTGGCTGCCTGTCTGGGCTTTGTCATTTTGGCCACTGGCTGTCATCATCGTCATCATTATCATCATCATCATCGCCATCATTATCATCATCATCGTCATCATTATCTTCATCATCATCGTCGCTTTCGTCGTCATCCTCATCCATCGTCTTCTTGCGGCATTCACATGCAATGCCAATAGCTCCCCCCCCACCACCTCTCGCTCCCCTTGTAATGAGCGTAGTTTATATGGGGTTACTGAGCACATACTTAGAAGTACCTATGCAATCCTCCTCTTCTCCTCTCCTCCTCTTCTTCTCTCCTTCTCTCCACTTCACTCCCCCCTCTCCGCTGTGCATGCTGTTCGCTTTGCAGGTGTCTGGGTCTTCGTGTGGGAGCTGCTTGAACTTAATTGATTGATCTGCAAGTTCTTAATTCAGCTTAACTAGGTACTTAACAAGAAATTACCCGGCGTTGAACGGCTTGCAAGCTGCAGGCAGATAAGAAGCTGCTTAAATTCCCACAATGTCTCAGTGCATTCGACTTTAACCCTGACTTGGAGCTGGAATTTGGTTAAACCCCATCTTGTTGAACATTTTCGACCTTATAGCATATATATACATAGCTTTTATATACAGCTAGTTAAGATATAACCAAGGTCTAAATCACGTGAAAATTATTCTTCTTATTTCTTCGGATGATACAACTTTCGAGATAGAAAGAAACGTTAAGAAATAGCATCGAGGTTTTACTCAATTGCAACATAAACATTGTCTATATATTTTTTTTCAAGTATGCCAATTCTTGTACTTATATTATTAAAGCTACAATATTCAGAATAATATTAAGTTGAACAAACAGTTAACTTGCATTTGACCTTGTCAAATAGTTTAATTAACTGTGAAAAAAAGTACGGAAAAGCACGGAACAGCATTATCTGAGCTCTTGTGATTTGGAAATAAGTTTCCAGCGCAGATCTTGAAATATGCACGTATTACATTTTTTTTAGTTCATTTGATCATTTCTCTATTTTTTTTTGGTATTGCTCTCAGGTTGATAAAAGCAATTGGAAACTGATTTTTGTTCCTTAGCTTTACTTCGAGATACATTATTTCTTCCATTCTCTGAGCTTTCGAATTTTTGTAGAGCCTTAATTTCAGCTTAACCCAAAACTGGAAAATATGTAGCTTTAAGAGTTTTCGATATTTATTATATTTTTAAATGTAAATAGTTTTAGATGCAATCGCGCTTATCTTTTATCTAATTTAAATGTTGACCTCGAAGCACCTCAAGAAGTTACTTTCTCATTCGGCAAGTCGTAACTGCGCTCTGATATCTTAACTACTTTTTATGTTTTTTTTTTTTTTTGTCAATAAGACGAGCGCCGCTTAGTTTCCTATGTAACACACACACACACACACGCAAACACACTCATCGTGATTGCGCGACGAGCACGTTTGATTAAGCCACACGCACACGCACACTAACACACACACGCACGCACACATTAAACAAAAACTTAACTGTCGCCGGTCACCGTAGCCAATTGTCGCTTAGGGTAGCATTGTATAGGCCCGCGGGCAGCGTTAGTTAGCGTGGAGGGGAGGGCAGGTGAACGGGGGCTAGATACCCAGCGTAGCTGCCCAGAGTCGACCAAGAGCTGGTCATAAAACTCGCAAGTGCAGCGCATAATTGCTGCTGACAACACGCACCATCCGCAAGCAGCAGCAACGTTGGCAACCCTGGCACCGTTGGCAACGCTGGCAGCAGCTGCCCGGCCATGCGATCTCTGCTGTAATTATACCCTGTGACCATTTAATTGGGATGTAATAGGGCGGTATTAAGTATGCGACAGATAAACAACAAGCACTCTTTCTGTAATATAAACAAGTTGAACCATACAGTTTTATACCATATGTTAATACAAACTAGTTTATATCAGTGATAAACAAAAAACTCTTACAGAAATGTATCTGGACTTGTACGTCAATTTCAGTTGAGATAATGGATGGGTTATTAGCTTATAAATAATGGATGAATGAACTTTTCCCTGATTAACTGACTGGTTGAATAAAAATGGAGAAAAATTAAAATACACATTCATCCAGTACAAATCTTGGTTATTTTATACTCATATTAAGGTATCTGCTAGTCATGCTCACTTTGCTCACTTTGTTGTCTTCTCCGCTCGCTTCATATCTTCCTTTCTCTTTCGCGCTCTTCCTTCCCGCCTGGCTTACATGCGAGCACTTCCACCACCGCCACCTCTATTCAAATGTCTTTGGCGTCGCTTCTTCTGCTCGGCGCTCGTTAAGTTTTTAGAGCATGCGCCTCGGTCGAGCCGAAGCCAAAGCCGAAGACGCAGCCGAAGCCGAGGCCGAGCCTGAAGACTGTCAGAGCTGAGGCCGAAAGCGTTGCGAGGCGCGTTTGCATATGCGTTTGCTCAGTCAACTTCCGCCACGAGACGCGTTCGGACGTGCGGTGTCTTAAGCGGCGATCGGCAGCGAAAAAGCTGCACAAAGCAGAAACTCACGTTAGCTCGAGAATTTTACGTATCACTCAAATTATTTTTGTTGTTTACGTTTTTGCCGTTGTTCTTGTTTCCGTATTGCGTGCGTGTGTTATTGTTTTTGTTTGTTTTTTTTTTTTTGACTGGTGGTGTCTTTCGGTCTGCATTCGCGCGTAACGAGCCCACGCTATTAACTACCCCCCTCTCAGTCGCACACACGCTGCCTTTGTCTTGCTGAGTGCGGGGTATCCTGAGCACAGGATGCGCTTCGCTGAATACGCGCACCTGTTTTTCTGTGTCAGTGCGGTAATAACAACAACAACAGCAACAACAACAACAAGTCGCGCGTAAAATTCCCAACAACAGTTTGTGTCCAAATTTGTTTGCCGGTAAATTTAATTTATGCAAAAATTAGAAAGAAAGACGAAAAAAAAAACAACTCCATTTTAGATTATGGTATATGGTTGGTTAAGTGGAAAATCAACTGGTTGTGGCCAGAGAGAACCTGTTGGTAAATGTTTTGTGTGAGAGTTTCCGATAAGAAAAACTCCCACATTTTGTCGCCATATCTATGAGCCAGCCAGCCAGCCCCATCATAATTTGAATATGGAAATTTCTTAACAACCGGAACTTGTCTTTCACCAACTTTTCGGAACTCTTTGCCTTACATGCTTTTTGTTTGTTGTCGTTTTTTATGGTCGCTACAATATTTTGAAGAGTCGAACGTTACATAAAATGCAAAATATTATTTAAATATAAGATATATTATTATATATATATTATATATATTATATATTATATATATAACTATTATAAAAATCTCTTTTAGTCTTTCAACTATTCAAGTTTTGTTTAAGCGCTCGCAATTTCGAAATAGTTTTTGAAGTTGATGAAATTTGATTTAATCAAAATGTTCTAAAAATTTCGAAACATTTAAAAATAAATCATTTTTGATTGAATATTTAATGTTAATTTTTTAATTTCTATTTCTGAAGAATCTAGCATATGCCAGAAAATTTCAATATTTGTTTAATTTGAAAGAGCTTTTAGCTTTCTTATTTTGTTTTTTTCACTAAAAACAATCCAATTATTATAAAAACGAAATATGTTAAAATATATTTTTATATCATTTTGAATATAAATATGTCAATTATATCATATTTTTAAAATATGCCACATGTATGTCATATTTAAAATAAAATTTAAATATATTCCACTTTTTTTTTTATTATAATTTATAATTGCATCAATTTAACAATTATTTATTTGTTAATATTTTATTTGATTAATTTTTTTACTTTTTATATTATTCCTTTTAATGTTTTGTCGAAAGTCGAATTCTTAATACTTTTTGGTCTCCATTCGGGTAAATAGTTTTTGCAACATTTCTAAAAAAATAATTTATAAAAATGCTAAAAAAAAAATTAACGTAATTTAGTTCTTGACTTGCCTCTGAGAGGAAGAATCAAAGCAAAGAATTGGTTTTCTCAGCTTGATTGAAATATGTTAAAGTAATTATTTGTCGACGAACTAGAAAACGTAAAGGTGCCTAACGGTTGTGGAAAGTATCGATTGCTCGATAATTATGATTGTATTATTTTGTATGATTATGTGCTAATTTCAGTTGTTGCTTGAACTAATTGAGAATTGCAATTGCCATATTCGCAGCTCGAATGCCGCCAACGTCTAACGGCCAGCGGACGGATCGTATGTGTTAGCCAGGCGGCAACTATGCTGATTGTGGACATGCTAACGTTGGCCTTAACGAACGGACAGAGCTTGCTCGAACGGGAGCGGGAACGGGAGAGGCAACATTGTGATGAAGCAGCGAAACGCAGCAAAATGACGGCAACTATGTCTAACAAAACGCTAAATAAACACAATGAAGATGCAAATTATAAGAGCAGCAGCAGCAGCAACAACAACAACAACAGCAACAGTGCGCATATTGCTGTTGCAATTGAGGCAGCAACAATCACAGCAGCAACAGCAACAACAACATCAGCTGCAGCAGCGGGCAACATGATTAACGGTGGACTAGGCTTGAATGTTGCTGCTGCTGCTGATAATGTTGCTGTTGCTGTTGTTGCTGCTGCTGCTGCTGATGATGATGATGATGATGATGATGATGGCAACGATGACGTCGATTTGGCATGCGAGACACGCAGCTCACGCGCTGATGTTGCTCGCGTGCAATACAAGGCGCATTGTGCGTGGCAGCCACAGCCGCAGCAGCAGCAGCAGCAGCAGCGCGGCGCGGTGCGGGGCTGGCAGGCGTGCCAGTCAGCGGCCAGCACAGCGAAAGACATGCAAACGCAGGCGCATGCGCGTGCTGAATACAGCGACAACAACAGCACCAGCAGCAGCAGCAGCAGAGGGAGCAGCAGAGGCAGCAACACAGGAGCGGAAGTGGCCACAAAATGTGAGCGCGCGCAAGTCGAGCGTGAGAGCGTGAGCGTGAGCGCAAACGCAGGCAATGCTGGCCATGGCCAGCAACCACCCAATGTGACAGCAGCAACAACAGCAACAACAGCAACAGCAGCAGCAGGCAATGACAGCGACAGCGACAATGCCAAAGGCTTGGGGAGCAACGGGAGCCGTAGCGACAACAGCGCCTGCTCAATACCTACAATTGGCAGTCAGCTTTTCAAAGCCAAACTCACAGCAGCAGCAGCAGCAGCAGCAGCAGCCGCACCACCAACAGCAGCAGCAGCAGCAGCAGCAGCAGCAGTCGTCGCAGCAAGCGCAGCTGAGCAGCAGCAGCAGCAGCAGCAGCCAATAATTAATTTTGGCGAATACAATATAAAAAATCAAGAAAAACAATTGTTACAAATTTGTGAAAATTTTGTGCAAATCAGCTCAAGTGTTGGCCAAAACGAGCAGCAAAAACAGCAACAACAGCAACAGCAACAACAACAACAACAACAAATTTTGTATACAGGCGTCAACAACGACGCGGGCAGCGCAGCTGGCGACGACGCTGACGGCGACGCGCAACGTACAGAAAAATTTGTGCAAAAAGGCAGTACAAATGCGTTAAGTGCTGATTTTTTTTTGTATAAACCAAGTGAAAATGTGCAAAGTGACGTAGCAGCAATAGCAACAACAGCAGCAACAACAACAAGAGCAGCAGCAGCAGCAACAACAACAGCAACAACATTTGCCAGGGCAAAGGAGCCAAAGTCAAATCAGAAACAGACACAGACATCGAAGGAGGTGTTGGTGCTGGCGGAGACGCCATTGTCATTGCCATATTTGCGTGAGGAATCGGCGAACGTAGCGAGCGGCCCATGCCACGACCCTGTTACTGTTGATAATGTCGTTGGTGTTGCTGGCGCTGTTTTGCCCGAAAGCGTGCCAGTTGTTGTTGTTGCTGACGGTTACGTGGATTACGTGAAAAGTGTTGCAGACAACAAAGTAGTAGCCGCAGCAGAGGCAACAGCATCGCACTGGGCCACGCTAGCGAGCAAAGCAGCGAGTAGCAGCTCAGGCCAAAGTTTGCTCGACGAGTGCCGTGCGGAACCTTTACACAGGTTTGAGTCCACAGCGTTCGTGTTCGACGTGACGAGCAGCGCACAGAAAGCAACGAGTAGCAAGCACAAAGCAGCGAGTAGCGAGTGTGCAGCTAGCTATACGCTCATAGACTGCGACGCAGCTGATCAGCAGTCGGCTGTGCAGCACAACGAGTGTGCCACAGCAGCGAGTAAAAGCGAAAGTAACGAGTGCAGCACAACAAAAACAACAGCAGCAGCAGCAACAAGCTGCAACGATTACGATCTTATTGATTTTGAGCACGATTTGGTCGATGATTTTGTGGCCAGCCAGCGGCTAAAACGCTTACAGCATAATTTTCAGGGACGCGTTAACAGCAGCAACAACAGCAGCAACAGCAGCAACAACATCAGCAACGACAACAACAGCTGTAGTTGTGAGGCTGTAGTTGATTGTGTAAAGGCATCCTTGAGACAGCAACAACAACAACAACTAAAACTAAATGCCTGCACGTCTACAATAAACACAACAAAGAAACTACCCCCTGAAGCAGCAGCAGCAAATAGCCATACACCCACTCTCACACCCACATTCACACCCCCGAGCAGCAGCAGCAGCAGCCACGCTGCAAAGGACAATAAAATAGTTGAAAGTTCGCTGTTGGCCGTGGCAAGCTCAAGTGCAATACAATTAGATGTAAATTGTATTCAAGACATTGGAAATGAACAAATTGCCACAGCAAACGACAGCAGCAGCAGCAGCAGCAGCAGACAACAGCAATTGCTGAATACGTTGCCAGAGTTGGCATTGCGCGTGCGCGGTGAGCGTGTTGTGAGCACAGCTGAAACATTAGCTGACAGCCAAGACGACGGCGACCAGGTGCTGATTGAAATTGAAGCAAAGCCCGCAGCAACAACAACAACAACAACAACAGCAACAGCAGCAACAGCAACAGCAACATTAACAGCAGCAACAACAGCGACAGACAGTTGCATACGCAGCGCATTTGTGCCCACAGTTATTTGTGACAACAATTGCAGCGATTCGTCAACGAACGCCGCCAATTTTGTGGCCACGCTCAGCGAGTTCGATGTGCAGCGCTTTGGCGAGTATCTGAGAGCGGCGCGACAGCTACAATTGCTGGACATCAATCACAATAGCCAGAGTCAGCTGCCAGGCGAGCCGAGCGGCAGTCACGTGAGCGTCAAACAGCGACGCGGCTTTCAGTGTTACGACGAGCTACTCGCTGAATTTGTAAGCGAACAGCAGGACGACAACGAGAACGAGCACGAGCAGGAGCAGGAGCAGGAGCAGGAGCTGGACAGCGAGTGCGATTACAATAGCGATAGCAATTGCAACGAGTGCCAGTGCGATGAGTGCCTAGCGGTCGCATCACATAACAGTACAGCGAGCAACGAGTACAACGAGCGAACAGCGAGTACACTCGCTACAAGCACAACATCGACTGGGATAGCACTTGGGCCCCGGCCAGACGTGTTCAAGATGCGTGAGGTGAATGGCCAGCTGCGCGGTCTGCTCAAAAAACCGAATCGACCGCCGCCGGCTCGCAAAAATCGTGTCGTCTTCGACGAGACACGCAACGAATTCTTCGAGGCCGACTATATCATATTGATACGCGAGGATTGCGCCTACGATGAGGAGGACGAGGAGCCATGCACCTGCGGCGAGCACGAGCTGGTGCGCCTCTGCTGCGAGGAGGGCTGCCAGTGCAACTATGCCGTTAATGCCGCTGAGCCCGGCGATGGACGAACGCCACAGGTGAGTGAACAAGTCCAATGTGGGCCTGCTATTTGGGGGCGGCAGCTATGGCTGGGGCGCTGAGGCTGGGGCGCTGTGGCTGAGGCGCTTAAATACTGCACACGTTAAGCGGATTAAGTCGAGTTGCACAAGTGCCCAAAGTTGAAGTGCTTAGGCGGCTTTGGCATCTGTCTGTCCCTGTCTCTGTCTCTGTGTGTGCACTCACACTGGCCACAGCTGAAAAGTAGGCAATACTCACGCACCATAGACGCAAGTTTAGTCGGGCAAAAAATAATGCGCCACTGACAGCTAGCTAAATCGTAGGTATTAAACAACTTCCAGCGAGTCTTAACGAATTTCTACTATTTTCTACTGTCAATGTTCATGTTGGTTGACAAGCCAGCTTAAAATGGTCAACTGAAAAGCTGTGCAAGCTGTGCTAAATTTCAATATTGTGCTTGTCAACTGCAGGCGATTATTTATGCAAAAGCTTTATTTATTGGGCGCTGCCGTGTGGCAACCCTGGTCTAGCTCATGTTAAATATTTAACTGCTTGTCTATGGTTTTCCTTTTTTGTTTTCTTTGTGGTATTTAGTTGTTGACGGGCCATGACGGGCTTATCACATGCGACAGTTTAATTAAATCAGTTGCTGTTCTTCAACCTCTTGCTAAATAATCATTTGCTGTTATTTATCCTAAAGTCTAATAATCACTTACTGTTATTTATCCTCTGGTTAAATATTGAATAATATTTATACGAAATGAACACAGGTTACTGGCATTAAACTATTCGCATAAATATATTTTCTTGTGGTAGGTATTATTGCCCTACTATAAGAAAGCGTTGCATCAGTTGCTCTAAGCTGTCCTCCATGTTCACTTTATTGCAATTAAACAATATTTGTCCATATTCTTGTGTGTCCTCTGATAAGTTTTCTTTGGACTCATTGAGAAACTTTTCTTCCAGTCGCTCTTATATGTTCTCCATGGTCAATTTAAAGCAATTGAAGCATTTCTTTTATTATTTGTTCTCAGCTGTCCTCCATGGATCGCTCTCAGTCGTCCTCCGTGGTCACTTTATGGCGATTAAATTTCTCATAAATATATTTCTCTTCGTTCTCAGCTGTCCTCCATGGTCACTTTATTGCAATGAATCCCATTTTTTGTTGTTGTAGATTTTCTTGTGTGTCCTCTGATAAGTTTTCTTTGACTACTTTGACGAACTTTTTTCTTAAACACTTTCAACTGTCCTCCATGCTCACTTTATTGCAATTAAACCATGTCCTGTCCTTTTGTCCTTCTTTGTGCTTTTTTATTTACATATTTCTGTCTATCCTCTGATAGTTCTCGTTTGAATACTTTGACAAGTTTTCTCCATTACGCTAAGCTGTTGTCCTCCATGGACTCCATTGAAAGTTCCTGTTCAACTTGCTTTCATTGGCTCTTTTTTTGGGGACTTTTTTCTTGTTAACCTTTTCTTCAGATTTAACAAGCCTTGCATGTGCTGACCTGTGCACATTTTGGGTCATGAAGCGTCCACATTGTTATTGTTAATTGTTATTGAAACATGTAACTGAACTTTAGCATGTATTACACATTATTAGCATATGTCCTCCATGGTCACATTAAAAGAGTTTTTCTTTAGAATACTTCGAACACCTTTACTGGCTTCAACTTGCGCCTTTGGCTTCCTTTTACATTCTCCATATGTGTTTTTTTTTTGCCGTCCTCCATTGGCTGCACTTGCCTTTTTTCCTTGTGTTATAATTGATTTTTATTATATAAATATAATTTGATATGTGCTTGTGTATTATGTCATTTAGTCGCCTCTAGAAGCATCTTCTTTTTTTTTGATTTTTTTTTTTGAGCAAAACTAATTAGTTTGCCCCAGTGTGCAATTGTTAATTAAAACAAACGTGCCCGCCTTCAGCTCTGAGCCACAACAAAAAGCACAATTGTTTTATGTAATTCGACATTGTTTTGCGCTGGGCAAGGGGGATTGGGGTAGCGGGAATTGGATGTGTGGTCTGGTTGGGTATTGAGTTTCGCCATAATCTATATGTTGTATTCTATATCCTGTTTCCGGCGACCCGTGCCACATCCTGCAGCCTTCAAGTGGCAGTCAAGGCAAGTCAAGTTGCAAGTCGGCCGCACATTGTTGCTGCTGCTGTTGCAAGTTTGTAGTTAGCTTGTCTCGCCCACGCCCACGCCCACACCCCTGAACCCCTGACTTTTTCCTTGCGCAAGTGGTGTATAAATCACTTAAAAACTTTTGCACAAAATGCAACTCGAGTAAGTCGAAAGTGCAGCACGTTGCACAGCAGCAACATAATGTGTCCCTCTCTCTCTCTCTATCCCTTCCTCCCTCTCTCTCTCTCTCTCCCACTCCCTCCCTCTCTCTCTATATATATCACTGATATATTGTTTTATGAAATTGTGCCTTGAAGTGCGCCTTTTATCGTGATGTACGCGTTTCATGTGTTAAGGACATTCGCAAACTTGCTGTCGCAGCGCACTTGCTATCTCCCTTGCTCTCCCTCTCTCCCTCTCTCTCTCTCTCTCTCTCTGACTGCTGGCCATTAGCCACACTCCGCACTCCCTTCCTCGTTTATTTTTTTTGCCTTTGCATCGATCCTAAGCGGCCCTCAAGCTGCGTTTAAATTTCAATTTTCTGCCACATGAGCGTCACTTGAGTGCGCCGCTTTTTGCTTATCTGTCCGTGCCGTGCCGGGCCGGGCCGGGCCGGGCAACCAGCCTTATACCCGGCACGCCCACGCCTGCCCAACCTGCCTCTCTTTTGCCGTCTGTCTGAGTGTGCCCTGGCCAAGTGGGTGGCCGCCCAATGCACTTGACTTGGCGCTGCTCAAGCATGTGGCAAATGCCTAAGATTCAAGTCTGTGCGCCTGGTTGTGCCTCTCTCTCTGTGTGTGTGTGTGTGTGTGTGTGTGTGTGTGCTGGTTCCTGCAGTCACTTTGAAGAGTTTAATATGCATTTAGTGTGTGTAAAGAGTTTACAAAATGCGTTGTATAAGCCAAGTCCCAGACACAGGCAAAAAAAAAAAAAAAAAGGAAAAGAAAAAAATATTGCTTGCGCAGCAACGAATTTTAAATACCCTACCAGACACACGCATATATAGCACATATATACCCTATAAAAAGATTTAAATGCTTCTCAGATAAAAACATAAATAACATATAAAAATAATATTTAAGCTTTAAGCTTTTCCTGCTTAAATCAAGTGCATAAACAATCAAAATTTGACTAAAGCAGCTTTTTTCTTAAACAAAATCACATAACAATTTAATTAGCTGCAAAGAGCTTTGCATTTTCTCATTCTCAGAGAGTCACATGCTTTCTTCAAGTAAAGCGATTACTTAAATCTAGAACTTATCTACTTGCAGTTAGACTTAAAGTTCTTGTTCCAAGTAAGCAAGTGCTTGATTTGCATTTTCCAGAAGACTTCCTGCTTTAAGTATTCAAGTGTCTTACTTAAGCAAAAAGTGCTTAAACTAATCAATACATTTGCTTAAAAAACATTTCAATTCATCTTAAATCAATAATGTAGAGACTTAAAAGAAGGACAATAGAGCTAAACAGATCTGAACTCTAAAAAAGAATAAATTTGATTACAAGCCTCATGACAAAATCACATAACACTCAGCGAGTGCATGAAATAAACGAATCCCAAAATGACAATAAAAAATTTGGCAATTTTTATGCAAACGTTCTGTTGTTATGGCACCGTGCAGCGACTTTTCCATTTTCTATTTTCCATTTGGCATTTCCAAAAGAAAAAAAAAAAGAAAAAGCGAAAGAGCGAAAGAGAAAAACCTGCATGTGAAAGCAGTTCGCACACGTTATGTGTGCGGCTTTTGCTTTATGTGGCACTTCTTAAGCTTGCAACAAAATAAAAACCAAGGAAAAGAAATGAAGTTCTTGGCAAGTTGATTGCCGCACCACAAAAAAACCACTAGCGAACTTTTGGCCTAGACTTTGTTGCCGTCTTCGACTACGTCTTCGTCTTGCATTGTGTTAAATGAACACACAACAACCACGCGCATGTAGTTCCATTTGTACTTACATATGCATGTGTTTAGCATGTATGCAAATGTTCATGCGCCTTGTCCTTGGTCTTGCGAGCTGTGGCACTGCTGAGGGCGTTGGAACATTTTGATGCCAACTAACAAGACGGTTGGCGGAATTTAAGCAGAAAATAAACTGTTATACAATTGTTATACAGCTGTTATACGACTGTTATACAAATTATGCAGTGTTCTAGCGGCAAACACAATCGCCACACACATAACCGATCTTGCTCAATATGAGCTTAAATTAGACTGTTATATAACAATTATATAACAATTTCATGCCTTTCAATCAAGTGTTATACGCCGGATTATACAAGTGCTATACACTCAAATGAAAGATCAAAGTTAACGCATCTTAGCTCTCTTAGGAAGCTGGTTTAAAGTAAAAATCTGTTATATCACTGTTATACAAATGCTGCAGCAGCTGCAGCACACTAATTCATGCTTAACCATTTTTCACATCTCTGTTGTCAACAGTTACACACATCTACGTTTGTTGAACAACTGTTATATGCAATCAGGAGCAGCAGCAAATAGCTTAAAAGAAACTGAATTTCATACAAAAGGCAGCCAAAAAGCTGTTATTCAATGTGTACACACCATTATAGCTGTTATACCAAGCTGATATAAATCTGTTTGATGTTACATGCGGCAAGACAACTATTATATAACTGTGATAACATTGATTAACAGCCCTGTACAAGTGTTATACTTATACAACTGTCGCTGCCTTTTGATTAGTTACGTGCACAGCCCACCACCGGCGAGGAAACTTAACACAGATTTATGAGCACACACAGTTAGTTCATCAGCCAGGCAAACACTAGCGCACAGCCACCAACAGGGACACACACAGACACACCAACACACACACATTGATATATATATACATATATAACGCCCCCATTCGTCTGGCTATAAAACTCAATTAGCTTAATTTGCGAGCGGGCGCACAATTACGTGTAGCCAGAAGCCGGTAGCCTATAACTTACTTAGCTAACTAACATTAAGTAGATACTACAGTTAGCGAAAAACTATGGACTACGAAAATATGCTCCTCTTCAACAGCACGATTGCAAACTTAAACCTTAACCAACTTGCAAGACCAAATTCCTTAAACAAGAATTTGCAAACTTAAAATAAGCATAACTTGAAGTAAACCAAGCTTAGGCTCAAGGCGTGACAGCTTGTTTTAATATGTCTTTTTCTAAAAGCCACGACAAATAAAACTTAGTTTAAGTTTCTTCGCACAAGCTGCAATCAAGTTAAGTCGGCTTAAAGTCAACTTCCTAGATTTGACTTTTGAAGCAGAAAAGAAAGTTTTTGTGGTAACGTTTTTAAGCCTCATTGAACTTAATTTAAGCATCAAATAAAGTCACAAGAAAAAAGAGGGTTTAAAAAAGGAATTGCTACTTGAGTTAAGAATATTGTTGACAGCTCAATTTTAAGTTGAGCGCCAATTTTCGTCGAGTGTATTAACTGAGACTAAGCGATTTGCAACTCTTTCGCAGAGCCCCAAGTTCCAGCCGCCAATTGACTTTGTGGACGATGCCGCGCTCAGTCCACCCGATGGCTACAAGGATAACAGCCTAAAGAACACGCTGGGCGGCGCGCTCAGCGGCCACATCTTTGGGGCGCAGCATCTGCAACAGTTGCAGGTTATCCAGCGTCTGCAGCAGCAGCGTGCTGCGATGTTGGCGGCGCGCAACAGCGGCAGCAACAGCAACAGTCAAATACCGCCGCCGCCACCGCCCGCAGGCGGCGCTCAGCAACAACAACAACAACAACAACAGCAACAACAGCAACAACAACAGCAACAACAACAACAACAGCAACAACAGCAGCAACAACAACAGCCGCTGCCCGATGAGGACCTGCAGGGCGTTTGCACCGAGTGCGCCGAGTGCGCTGAATGCGCCGCCAAGCAGCTACAGGATGCAGGTAAATGCGGCTCGTCCTGTTTACTTTTGGTTTATTTGGTTTTTTTTTTTTTTTTTGTTGCAATGCAATTAGCGGCCATATCCCATTTGGGCTGGGTCAGATGGTGGGGCGCACGCTCGCGGCGCTGTATTCAAAATTCGTTTTCGTTTTGCCTTTGCATTATCTAATTATGAATTATTTATGCAACACAGAGGCCCGTTGTCGGGCATCGTCAACCGGGTCTAGACTGTTGCCCGTTGGGTGTGGGCCGTAAATTCGACGCAATTTTTTTTTTTTTTTTAAATGTTGCTGGCTGGCAGAGAGGCTCACGAGTGTGTTAGGTGGTATACGAGCGTTATACAAGCATGTTTCACTGTTGTACAACTGTTATATAGGTTAAACGCCACTGACAGTACAACTGTTATACAACTTTTATACTTATGCCAGTCTAATCGATACGCTAAAGATAATAGAAGAGTCCCACAACTGCCTTATAACTATTATACGACTGTCATACAATTTATATTCCACTGATACAAGAACTGTCGTACAATTTTTAGATCACCATAATAGACCTGTTATTATCTTTTACTAAACTGTTATACAACAACTAAGCAACTCTTAATATGACCGTTTTACAACTGTCATACGACTGTCATACAAACTTTATGCTAATAGAACTATCATATATCTATTTTTATACTGTTATACGACTATACAGAACCTCTATATCTAACTGTCACACGACTGTTATATAACGTCGACTTTCAACTCAGATTGAGAATATATACACAAGTTAGCTTTAATCTATAGCCTTTCAAGGATTTAGCAAAGATATCTATTACACACATTGGCAAAACCCTGGGGCAACATTTTCTGGGTGAGTTCATGGTTGGTGGGCATATAAAAGCGAAAAATACGTCAGTTAAATGTTTCAACTTTGTTGCCCGCATTGCCGCAGACGTCGAACTTGGTTAAAGTTCTACCCAAAAACTAAATAACTATTGATTGATTTATGGGAACTTAACTTAATGGATAAACAAGCGCAAGTTTGTAGTTGTTTATGGTTTTGTTTGCCACCCATAGAAGGATATTTAACTTGAGCGATACTTTTTCAACAAATATAAGAACCGAAGTAGGGTAGGTAGGGCTCGAGCAGGGGTAGGGGACATTGCTTTGCATTTGCATTAATTTTGGTCACGCTTTATCGATTGACAGGCAAACACAACCAGTTGAACTGAGTCCCCTTTTAAGCATTATTTGTTGCGCCTAACGAAGCGGAATGTGACCCACCCGCAACAGTCACCGAGTCACTGAACCACTGAATTTTCGGGCCGCCAAAGTTGAGCCAAGCTCTGGCCGCGCCCTGCCGCAAGAGCAATCCTTCAAGCGCGCTTCCGCAATAGCAGCAACAGGCGCAGCAGCGCCCCACTCTCTCTCTCTCTCTCGCACTCTTTAAGTGTAGTATTACCCGGCATCGCCTGGCTGAAATAAATCATGTTCAAAATACTAGTGCAAGCGAAACGAATTATTTAATTCAAGTCAACCTCTGACGTATAGAAAGCTGTTGAAATATTTAGCTCGCGTCCGGCCTTAGCTAATATTAATTAATTTATATATATAAGCATATTTTTTCCCGCTTTTTAAAGCAATTTTTGTTGAGTTTAAACCGGCGATTTCTCGCTTGCTAGTTCGAAGCGCAGTCGCTGTGTTGACTGCGTTGTTTCTTCATGTCTTTCTGACCAATTTGTGGATAAAATTCTCTGAAAGTCTTTCAGTCCGAAATACACGTTCGTTAATCAGTCAGTTAGTTTAGGGTCTGTTATATGACAACTAAGCAGCTGTGATTAAAGAACTGTTATACAACCGTCATACATTTGTTTTCCATAATAGAACCGTCATATAACTATAGCCTGTCAATGCCCTCGCTCGTTATTCATTAATCATGATTGAAAAACTGTTATACAACTGTCATACTTATTTTTTAAAATATAACTGTTATTTAAACAGTTGCACGCATATGTAGAAACTCAGTAGAAACTCTTTCATTTATATCGATATAAATTTAAAGTAAATTCTTCTGCTCTCTCCACAGAATGCGGCGGATCGCAGTGCAACGAGGAACTGACGCCGATCGGGGTGCCAGCTGTGGCATTGTTGCCGTTGCATACCAGCTCACCGGAGCGTCGCATCACGCAGAAGGAGATCATCGCCGGCGAGGAGCGGCCCAAATATGTGCTGCAATCACAATATAAGCCCGCAGCGGCATCTGCAGCAGGTAAAGTTCGATACATATCTCGCTCTCTCCCTTCCCCTCTTCCCGTCTCGCTCTCGCTCTGCAATTTGTCATTCGCTTTGTATATAGCACAATATTTATCATGCATACGCTGCATCCACCCCTCGTTCCGCTAAGCACCCACAGAATTTGCGAAAACATTTCCCTCAGCAATCAGCGGTCAAAGAGCAGCAATCATATTTATCAAGCGAGCCCCCAAAATTGTCATCAATCATGCATACATCAGCCTATCTGCCGTATGTAAATATGTAACCTTAGCCGCAAGCATTGAGCATCGCCCTTTCATTTTGACAGTTGTCAATTATTGGATTCAATATTGAAATTGACATTAACTCCCATCATGCATTGACATTTCTTTTTGGGTCCATTGAAAGCGATTTGTGCAGCTGTTATACAACTAATATACAACTATTATACAACCGTTGTTTAAAGCTGTTCCGCTGCATATGTGCTACATAACTGTTATTCAAATGTAAATTAACAGTTATTTAAGTGTTGTACACCTGTTATACTCTTTAAATGAAGTGTTGAAAAACTTGTATAGGTCTGCTTTGCAAATTTTTAAAGAATTATACAATAGTAATATTTACTTTTAGCTGTAATACAGTTCTTACACACCTGTGAAGCTGTCTGTTATACATATTTCGTACAGTGGCTACACTAATGTTGTGCAACTGTCATACAAGTCTGTTGTAGTATCTGTTATACACCCATCGGCTAGGGCCAGTGCCACCCTATAAACTAGCCATAAACCCTGTATAACAGTAAGACCTTTTAACAACTATTTGTTTAGCTGTTATACTTATATAGCAAAACTGTTATACTGTCAGTACATATACATTTTCTATTGTTTAACTGCCACTATAAAACCGATATACATCTGAATATAACTGCTTAACATCTGTTATACAACTGTTATACAACGGTTATACACCAAAATATGCCTGCAAATAACACTGCACACTCGCCCAAATCGCTCACACCCAATCGTTCGACCTCGCATATTCGCCGACCCCTTTTCTCTCTCTCACTCTCTTTATCTCTCTTTTTCTCTCTTTGTGCCTCCTGTCAATGCAAATATGTACAATGCTCTCTTTCGTATAACAATTTCAATAATGCCGCTCGCTCTGACCATATGCCGCATGCAAATGTCGTATTGTGCTGATATATTCTGTGTCATATGTATATGTGTGTGTGTGTGTGTGTGTGTGTGTGTGTGTGTGCCTGTGTGTTTGTTTGTGTGTGTATAACAGTCAAAGTTAGAAAGGATGCGGGCAGTAGTAGCAAACCCGCCGCCGCCAGTGCCATTTCCGGTTCCGGTACCGTTGCCGCAACCGGCACCGGCACCGGCACCGGCTACGGCAACAGCCTGGTGCCAGCAGCGGGCAGTAGCTCAGCCAAGAAAAAAAGATTTGTTGTTGAAACCATTACCACTATGACCACAGTGACCGAGCGACGCATTATACGCGAGGCGCACGAGGATACGGCGGCTGCCAGTGGCGCTGCCGGCGCAGCGCCCGCAGCGGAAATGCTGCCGCCGGCGCTGCCGGCCAAGGCGAGCGCAACAGCCGCCGCCGCCGCCGCCGCAGCAGCTGCCAGCGCCGCTGCAGCCGCGAATGCAGCTGGCACAGAGCCATACGATGAGGAGAAACCGCCACCCATACCGCCCAAGGAGCTGACAACGACCACACAGATCAGCGGCATACTGAAGGGCGGCAAACTCTGGAAGCAGGACTCCATTTCCCAGGTGAGTAGCAGCAGCGGCAGCAGCTGTTGGAATTTATTTTATTTAATAATCTGCATTTGGGCAGCAATCGGATGACCAGAACAACACCACCTCAGAGGACGAGAGCGGCGCCACGAAGCGTTCGGTGCGCTTTGTGACCGAGGATCAGGCGAATGCCGGCACCGATGGCGATGGCCAATCGCTCTGCGGCGAGCTGGACGACAGCGAGAACCAGATCAACGAGCTGATACCCATCAAGAAGCACTCGACGCTGTTCAACAATGCGCTGCGTCCCAATTCGGCGGTGCGTCAGCTGTTCCCCAGCGTTTCGGCCCAGCAGGCGCCGGTGCTCACCTCGGAGGCGTTGCGCGCCTTCGATGAGTCCAAGCGCGCCGGCTGCCTGGTAACCCATTTGCCCGGCAGCTGCGGCGACTCGGACACCTTGCGGCGCAGCATGGAGCGCAATATACTGCGACGTTCGCTGATCAAGTAAGTGTGACAGCACAGGCTCCCAGCTCCCACAGCTACAAGTGCTCATATTCCACCCGTTTCGTTTTTTTTTTTTTTGCAATGGCCGCTGCAGGAAGAAGGCCGTCAAGTCGGACATTTCGCTGGAGGAGCGCATCAAGCAGCTGACCTGCGACATTGACGAGGATCTTGTCGAGGAGCTGTCGCGCGGCGTTGCCGATGCCGACCAGGATCAGGATCAGGCCAGCGAGCGTGACTGCTCGGAGCTGGCGCAGCGCGACAGTCCCGCCGGCGAGGAGAATCCCAATACGCTGGCGCCCAAGTTCATGAACGGCGAGAAGAGCTTCTCGCCCAGCAGCTCCGTCTCAAGCTCGTCCAGCGGCTCGTCGGCCTACAAGAAGATCGCTGACATCTTTAGTCGCGACAAGAAGCAGGAGAAGATTATGGAGCTCGAGGAGAATCCCATTGTCATCATACCCCAGGTAAGCAGAAAGCTCATCAAAATCCACTCAAAACTTAACCAATTTCGGGAGAATCGATATTCCACTTTTACATATTATTTAGATTTCGATATGCATTTTTAAGAATTTTTCGATATTTTTCAGAATCTTCAAATCATATTTTTAACTGATTTAAGTGATAATCGATTAATCGCTAATCGATTTTATTACGATTAGTGTAAAAAGTTGAAGTAAACTTGTTCCCACGCTTTGGCTTTCATCCATTTTTGGTATTTGCCAATTTTTGGGTAGAGATCAAATTTAGCCCGAAATTTCTTTATGAAAATATCTATGACTTGGAATATTTTCAGCAGAGCGGGCAGTTACAAATTTAGAAAATAATAAAAGAACACATGTTAACCAATTGGGAGATACGAAGCAATAGCTTGTCTTCTACTTCCCAGACCACAAGCTGTGGGAAACGTTGTCTTGGGTAACCGAGCTCAGAACTTTGTGAAATTTTCAGCTCCTAAATAAGACAAAGAAAAGTATGCTAAAACCAAATCCCTAAGCTCCAACTTTAAATATAAAAGATTTAATATTCTTCTCAAATAGAAATCGAGGAAGTTTAAGCAATAAGTGAACTATAAAGAATCGTTCCTAAATCTCTAAATACCATACTCGAATCAAAATACGAAGTATGCTGTCTCAGTTGTCGAAATCGAAATATATCGATATTTTTTAAATTTATCAATCGAAGATAAGTAAATAATGTATTAGAATCTGTAGACACTAAACGCGAACCTACATTCCAAATTGAGTGCATTTAGCTTGTTATTTCTCGGGTTTGAATAACTTATTGTCAAAATCGATATTTATCGATATTATGAGATGTTATCGATAAAAGCTGATAAGCGCCTTTTGCCAACGAGTATGTCAAATATAAAGTACCTAGCTTAAGCCATTGCTTGAATCCTTTGCACTAACGCTCTGTTTTTTTTCCACCTTAAAAGGAATGCCGCTGCCCCGCCGCACCAGATCTGGGCATGGGCATTCAGGTGCCGGTTGTGCACACGCAAATCCATCGTACGCCGCCGCGTCAAAACGAACCCAAGCGCCAGTTCCTCTCGACCCTGGCGCCGCTGACCGCCTGCGTGGCAGGCAACAAGGACGATCTGTCCTCCTACTACACGCTGGCCGCGGCAGCCGCCGCTCACCAGCACGGACATGCGGCGCATGCGCACGCCCATTATGCGGCCGCCGCTGCCGCCGCCGATTACAATATGAGCCAGCTGCTGGGCGCTGCCGCGGGCGCTGGCGATGCCGTGGCCCAGCAGGCGGCCGCTGCGGCGATGGTGGCGCAGGGCTTGGCTTTGGGCGGCGGCGCTGGTGCTGGTGCTGGTGGTGCCGGCGCTGGCGGGGATGAGGCGCGCAAGGTGGCGCCGGATGTGATTGCCGGCACGCCCGGGCAGGAGACAACGCAACAGGACGAGCTGGCCGCCTTCGCCCAGGCGGAGGCGAAGCGCACCGAGCAGCTAAAGAAACGATATACGGGCGTGGAGACCGCCTCCCAATGCCAGTCGCAGGCGAGCAGCGACGACGACGAACAGAACGATTATGGCTTCAATAAACGGCCCTCGGTGCGCGGCATCAAGCCCAAGTTCAGCTCCACCAACGAGATACTTGCCCAGATGCAGGAGCAGCTCACCCAGCAGATACCCACAACGGTGATCAGCAGCCAACCCGTGCCGCAGGCCATCAAGGGCTATGCCATGCCCAATCAGGCCAAGCAGCCGAATCCCTCGCCGCAGAACGTGCCACAGCAGCAACAGCAGCAGCAACAGCAGCAGCAGCAACAGCAGCAGCAGCAGCAGCAGGCGGCGCAGTTGCAGCAACAAATGGCGAATGCTCTGCAGGCCAATACCATTGCCCAGCAGAAGACGGAACAGCGCACCTGGAGCTTTTACAGCGAGAGCGGGGAGCAGCAACGATTTCCGGTAGACGCCGCCGCCGCCGCCGCCATACAGCAAACATATTACCAGACGTTGCCGGCGGGCGCCATGTTCCGCCAGACAATGATACAGCAGGGCGCCGCCGATGATGCCTCCTCGCTGCTGTATGCCGCTGCCCAGAACTGTCAGAGCATGACGGCCACGGCAACGGCGACCGCAACCGCGACGGCCATCGAGCAGAGCAAGCACAGCAGCTATAGCAGCCACTTTGCACGCAGCCCCACCAGACGGCCGGAGTCGCCGCCGCCGTTGCGCAACTATCACCAGACGATGGTGTTGATACCATACAATGCCGAGACCTATTCCCAGTTCGCAACCAGCAGCAGTGTCGATCCCAAGCTGGCTCACATCCAGCGACAGAATATACTCGAGTATCAGCAGGTGAGATCTTCGATTCGATTGGATGCGAATTGAGAAGGGGCAAGGTCTTTAATTCAGATCAAGTTTGAATCGGATATAACTAAGATTCAGAGAATGTATAGGACACATGAAATGGTAACAGACGAGCTTGGATATAAGATATATTAAGATGAAATGGGCTAAGATTCAGAATGAGACCCACGATTGATTCGGATTGAGTGTAGGATGCTATAGCTGGTATTATATTTAACCTATATATAGATTATAGTACAGAATGAAGTAAAAGATATGGATAGGATTGTATTGATAGAATTAGATCGAAGATAGATACGGATTAAGTGTCGAATGGTGCGAATAAGATGGCTTATACAATAAGTAGATTGCGATAAATTATGAAAAAGCATTGATGGAATATAGAAGGGACTTTATCATGGGCAAATTAGAAAATAGTATTTAAACATATTTGGGCCAGTTACACGATGGGAGAGTGCATAATAATATTAGAAACGAGTTGGAAAGCCTGGCTGTCTTTTTTTTTTGTAGCTGAAACATTTGCTAAACAATCTATTCTTCACGCAGGTAACACAGCAAACGATACGCGTGCCCATTGGCTATGCTCTGCCTGGCATGCAGCTGCATGTGGTCAGTGGGCGTGGCCACGCCGCACACTATGCACAGCATCAGCACACGGCTGCCCAGCAGCAACAGCAACAGCAGCAGCAACAGCAACATCTGCACCAGCAACAACATCAGCATCAGCAGCAGCAGCAGCAGCAGCAACAGCAGCAGCAGCATCAACAGCAGCAGCAACGTTTAATGTCGCAACACTATCAATACGGACCGGAGGGCGGCATGCCGGGCTTTAGCGAACGGGGCGTGCCCGAGGGCGCAGCTGCCGTCTCGCACAGCGATTGCAGCGCCATGGTCTCGCCAACAGGCGCCCAGCAGCAACAGCAGCAACAGCAGCAACAACAACAACAACAGCAACAACAACATCAGCAACAGCAGCAACAGCAGCAGCAACAGGTGGGCGCTGCAGCAGCTCAGGGATCCGTTTACTATGCGATGAACGTATGACCCGGGCTGGAATAGTCGCTGCCAGCGGCGGTCATTGTTGAGCGCCGCCAGTGTCAACGCGTCGAGTTGTCAGCGACTTCAGTGCATTTGGGCGGAGGCGGCGGCAGCGGCGGCTGCGGCAGATGAGCCCCAAATGGCCAAACCGCCAACCTCTGAACGAACAAAATTTAGAAACCCAAAAACAAAAACCAACAAAAGTATTTCAAGTGTTTCCAAAAAAAAAAAAAACAAATGTTGCTTAAGTTTGTCGTTGAGTTCGAATCGATTACGCGTTGATCCTAGCGAGCAGCTCAGTTGCTCTCCCTCTCTCTCTGTCTCTGTCCCTTTCGCACATGCTCTCTGTCTCTCTCTAGCTCTCTGTCTGTCTGTCTGCGTGCCTGTGTATCTGTGTGTGCGTGCGTGCGTGTGTGTGTGTGTTTGTGTTTAGCCTATAAAAGTGCTTCACTCTTTTAGCTGCCCGCCCCGCGAAGTATGCAGCAATATTGTGCGCTTCGCAACACTGCACGAAAAGTGACGCAAACAACACTAGAATTTAGTAATTACAGCAAAATATTAAGACAAAACCGAAAAAAAAAAAACAAACCAACAACAACAAATACTCGTATTTAATAACAATTTAAGACAAATTGAGAAAAAAAAATTGTGTTTTTTCTTTAAGTTAAGTTCGAAATGCAACAACCAAAAGTGAAAGAGAACGAAAAACCAAAATTGATTAAGAATTTATTTATTACGTGCTGGGTGCTAGAAATGCAACAAAAACAAAAACAAAAACAAAAACAAAAACAAAAACAAAACAAAACATAAATATATATACACAAAATTGTAAAATTAATTACATATTTATGTATATGATTATGATTATTTTGATTTAATTCAAATTTTGTTCGCTTAGTTGATTCGCTTTAACAAACGTGTTTGCTCAATGATAAAGAAATTGCATTTGATTTTAGCTAAAGGGAAATATGCATAAATTAAATTATATTATATTATACTATATATACATATATTATATATTATATATATTTATATATATATATATATATATATATTTATTTGAATGTAGTGCAATTTGTTGCTATAGCGAACTTTTCTCACACGCAAAACTAGAACAAAATCAAAAAACCAAAACAAAAACAAAAAAAAAAAACACTTCACAATTGAAGAAACCAAAACAAAAAAAAAAACAGAAAGAAAACCAAAAAACTACAAAAATATGTACGAAAAATTGTGTTTTTTTTTTCAAGCTATTATATATATACATATATATAAAACATATATTAAAGAACTTAACTAGCGGGACTATACTTAAGCGTTAATATATAATTATTCATATATTCTAATTATAATTTGAATATGCTTTATGTTTTTTTTTTCATGATAATATACTGTGTACTCTTTTTTTTTTTTTTTTGTTACTTTGTATAATAAATATATGCGATATATTTTGTAATACCCATGCAGAGGGCCTTATAATTTCTTAACTTTCGTCAAGCGTGGCGTTAAATGTGTTAAATTGTCCGCTTCTATGCGATTCTCATGCACAATTTGAGGTTATGTTTGTGCAAATTTGATGCAGAGCGTCTTTATAACTCGAAAACAACGAACAAAAAAATAAATCAGCTAATTTTAACTTCGAAAATCAAGTTAACTGGTTGTTATATATTAACATATAAATATTTATAATTTAATTATTATTATTTTTTTACTAGCTCTGCACGGGTATTTGGACTTCGGCGCGCCGAATGCAGCGCTACTCTATTTATATATATAAATATATATATTTTATTTTATTTTTTTGATTTTTATTGAATACAACTTTTATTCGCTACATTCCATATGCATGTACTTTTGGGTGTTGCCTTCTCAGTGGCTCCCGCTAGCTTTTGGTACATGCGTATATTTTGTGAGCTGCAGTTTGTTTGGGTTTCATGAATACGTCTATATGTGTATATATGTGCGTGTCTCCACACATATATATATATCTATATCTAAATATATATATGTATGTGTGTGCGTGTGTATAATGCGTACTATCTATTAAATCATTCGTAAATCATCTACTTCTAAGTAAAAGTGCCAAAGTTGCACAACACAAAAACCAAAAAGCTTGTTAGAAAAACTTGAACTTGAAACAGGTAAAAATAAAATTCAAATAAAGTATATACAATACTTTATATATATATATACATATATTATATATATATATATGATATGCTATTCACAACAAAAATGATAAACATAGCGAATAGAAGAAAGGAAAACGTGTCGAAAGCGAATATTATTTTTTAAAATTCACATATTGCGTTAATGTCTATGATAAAGCTACACATATACATATACATTTATATATGTATATATGCATATACTATATGATATATGTATATATATATATACGAAAGAAAACAAGAACAAAACGAACGGCGAGTTAGATAGAGCTGCAGATATAAAACATAGATCTAAAACGAACTTAGACCCATATATTTATGCATATATATATATACATACATATGTAAGCCATATATAACTATATATATATGTGTGTGTGTGCATATGGTATAGCTATGCATGATTAGTTTTTAATCGCAACAACAAAATATACCAAAGCGCAGTTTAAGGCGCAATGCGAAACAAATTCACAATTCAATTTTCCCAAGTCGAACGAAAGAGAAGAAAATATAAACTAAAAAATTTTGAATTGACAAAAGCAGCGCGATTTGCATATTTAATAAATATATATATATATATACCAAAAAAAATATATATATTCATATATATATATATATATATATATATATATATATATTAGATGTTTATGTAATACATAAATGAACAAATATAATTTAATAGAAAAGTAAAGAAAAAAGTAACGACGAAACGAAAGCGTGAAAGTTTGTGTTTTTATACCCTGAACCGAGCGAAAATGGCTAAAACGGGTATATTGATTCTGTGCGCGCGTATGTAACAGACAGAAGAAGACAGCATCTCCGATCCCATAAGCTATATACATATATATATATATATATATATATATGACGCGATCAAGTCCGATTTCCCTCCGTCTGCGTGAATGTCAAAAATATCGATATGTGTATCGATTACAAAAGCTAAACAACTAGATATTTGAAAATTGTATTCAACAGTTTTCACTTTTTGCACAACATATAATAAATATCGTTTACAAAAGTTAAAAAAACTAGACGTTTGAAATATATATATATTTAAAGGAGTTCTTTATTCTTGCAATAACAAATCGATAAATATCGATTAGAAAACTTGCCCTTTTGAGACATAACTGCATGTCTGTGTGCATGTATGTATGCATGTATGTATGTATGTGTACAGCAAAGCTGGAGAGTAGAATATAAGGGCAGCTTGGCGCTGGGTACAGGGTATCTGGGAGTCGGGCACGCCCGACTAGAGCACACTTAATTGTTTTAATTGTCTGAATATCAGCTATAACTAATTTTTTTCTAATGCAAAATGTAGTTCACAAATTATATAAAATATATATATATATATATACAAATTAATATATATACATTATACACTAATCTATTGAATGGTTATGACGACTTTTTTTTGTGGCATGCAACAAAAACAACAACAACAAACAACAAATAACAAACAACAACCAGACACACACGAAAATGTGAAAATGTGTATTCATTAATGAATTAAGCAACAACAACAAAATCTATATATATATATAAATAAACATAGATATTAAAAAATAACGCAAAGGGAAAGAACGAAACGAAGAACAAAAAAAAAAAAAAAATTAAGAACATGCAAAGGTAACATTAAATTAAACAAGTTATATAACAAATTTAAAAATATGACTGAGCCAAATGACTCAAAAATACATTTTAAACAAGAAACAAACAATTATATGAAAAAAAAAATACAAAAACAAGCTACAAAATTGCTGTTTAAATGCGAGCTTGGACGTAGATGGGATTCGACCTCCCGACTGGGTATGACAACAAGCCCTTCTCATTGATAAGGCATCAGAGCAACATTCGACACTAGACAACAGCGATAAGCGTGCAGTCTGGCTGGCCAGCACGACTGGCAGCTACCCTGTAAACAATATACGAATTCTCAGCCTGCCTGTTCTTGGAGCTGCATTTGCTCTACATTTATTTCTGAATTTTATACAAATTAAAAAAAGCAGCAGCATCACAAATTTGGCGCTTAAAGCTGCTATAGTTCTCAAGATATGCGATCGATATTATCGATATTTATCGATTTCAAGGCAAATATGTCTACAAAGATAAGAACTTCACTTTTTACGCCCTCTTCTTTCTGATTTTCTGCCTGCCAGGATATTAATCGATATTTATCGATAGGCAAATTTGTCTACAAATAAAAGAGCTTCACTTTTTGCGCCCTCTTCTTTTTGAATTTTGCGCCTGCTGTTTGCTACAACAATGAACACGGCTCGTTTTTTACAGGGTATTAATCGATATTTATCGATTTTTGGGCAAATCTGTTTAACTGGACTACATACAATCTTTGTTAGCGCCCTCTTCTTAACGATTTTGCGTCTTTCATCTCCTACGAATATAAGCCACACCTTTTGTTTTTTACAGGGTATTCATAGGAATCTCTGATCGAATTGCGTTCCGTAAACTGAGAGCCGACAGCTGTGCACTGGCTTGGAACTGCCAACTTGTTGCAAGTGGATCTTAAGTTTTTGTTTTTTTTTTTTTTCTTTTTGTATTCGATTTGAATTTTTGTATATTTGCTTTTTTTTTTGTGGGCTCAGTCTGAGACTCGAGTTGCTGCGAGTCGCATCGCTGCCAATTGAAATCCAATCATGAGCTGCCCCTACGCTGGCAATGGGTAAGCGTTCATTTAACACAATACACGATCGTACACTCAGTTTGATACGGTTATTGCCACAGCAATGAGCACGACGATGGCGCCGTTCCGCTGTCCAATGAGGTGGGCAAAATCTATGGCGAGTATCTGATGCTGGACAAGCTGCTGGATGCGCAATGCATGCTCTCCATGGAGGACAAGCGGCCCGTGCACGATGAGCATTTGTTTATCATAACGCATCAGGGTACGATTCTCTGCCTCCCTTTCTCTTCCTCTCCCTCCCACTCTCTCTCTTTCTGTCTCTAACAATCTGTTTGTATGTCTTGGCAGCCTATGAGCTGTGGTTTAAGCAGATCATCTTTGAATTCGACTCCATACGTGTTATGCTCGACGAGGAGGTCATCGACGAGACCAAAACATTGGAAATCGTTAAACGCTTAAATCGCGTCGTTCTCATACTTAAGGTAAGCGATCCACAGATCTTCTTAACCTGATCTACATTTCACTTAGTATAGACAGCCAGAAGATGTGATTCGACGCGAGAGAGACTTTTTTTTTTAGTTGTCAAGCAAAACAAAGTTAAGATCTAGATGAGAGACGCTTCATGATCAAAAACTGATCTATTCAACTGATCTTGATCTAAGGTCAATCTAAGAGAACTTCTTAATTTCCGCCAAAAGATCTTTGATATTTATGATCTTTTTATGCTTTTTCTACAAATCTAACGATCGTCGTTTACATCTAACTCAACTGAAAAG